CTCGAGTTAGGAATCCAATAAAATTTATAACCATGCTAATTATAAGAGTCCTAGAACAGTGGTGGGGGGCCTTACAGTCACCGTATTGGGGAGCGGCCCTTGACGCCTCTGCCAAATGGTAAAATCGGGATTATTATAAAAGGCGACCGCGATTAATATAAAAGGAAAATAAAAAATTCACACATGGATACAAATATTTCTGAATATAAGAATAACTATTACTCATTGAAAAAAACATGAAACTACTCTTAAGATTCCGCTTCCCGAATTGACGACATCTTTCAACTTGCTTTTTAAATTTTTGATCCAATAACGACCTTACCGTAAAATATGTCAAGGAAAAAATACCAAACATTGCTGTTTTTACCGGCTTATTTTGCTTCTGAATATTAAAATAGCATTTTTTTTTATTTCCTTCAATTAACATTTTTACTTCAATTAATTTCATTTCTTGAATAAATAACTGGACCACTGGAACATGACATTGTGGAATTTGTTCCTTGCCTCTGAAATTAAACAGCCGGTTTTCACATTTTATTTGTAATGTCTGCTTTCAAAATTTAAAAAAATGTCATGGTGAAGAAAATTTCACGTTTTCCATTTTTGACTCATTTCCCCGCTTTTTCTTTTCTTCAGTGACATCTTTCCCCTTTTCCTGTTCTTAAGTGTTAACCCCACTTCGGTTGATTTCAGCCGAGGAGAACGGCCTTTACGACCTGGGTCATAAAGGCCCATCACCCGCCACAATAAGCTTCCATCTACCCTTTGTTATGTACTAATAGAGGTCGTAAGCACAACTTGCTCTCAGAGCAGAGGTTGCCCAGCCCTGATCTAGGCACATGATTGGTTACCAGCAAAAAACTTTCTAATTGTCAAATAATGAAAGAAATTTATTCTCCTAGGGTCGCAAATAACGCAGGAATTAAGTTGGAAATTTTGAGAAGCCCTGAGAATTTATTTTCATCATTGAAAAGACAGGAAATTATGATAAAGCTAGCTTAAATTGAGGGCGCACGCCTTTTAAGCTATTAATAACTATGCTGCATGCCTGATTAATTGGGATTGATGGATCTTGACATTCTCACCACTAATCATGTAATTTTGTCGCGCTGGCCACCTATTGGGTAGACTCACGTGTTTGCGAGCATCACTTACCGTTTGGGGCGGATACTTGGAGCGACCTGCTGCCAAAAATTTTGTGAGAGGACGCTTGATTGTGGATGAGGTCGCCAATTCGACGTAGTTTTGTAATTGGAGGGATAATATTTGGAATATTTGGAGTCCAATAATAAGCAATGGCCATATCATATGGTTCTCTATCTCTCGCGTTAGTTCACTGATTAATTCTGGATTTCGATAATTATGTTTTGATGTTAATTGAATCTCATTTAATTAATTGTCTGGCGAAATTATTCTGATTCTGATTGGTCACTTTCGCGACTTTGCAGTCGGAAAAATTATTGTCGAATAATTTGGTAATTTTATCGCCATTGAATTTTATTTTAATGTATTCGAATTTTAAGGTCTCGTGACCTCGACTATATGTTAGAGTTTGAGGTCATTTCGACTTATCGCTTTTCGTTATTGAAGGTTCAAGTCATTGAATTTGTTTTGATTAATTAATTAATTAATCATTTAATCAATTCCTTTGTAACATTGTTAGACTTCAGAGACTCGTTTGATCAATTTAACTAGACGGCAGTGACTTCTGTAGATCGAATATTACTTTCCTTTGCAATCTAATTAATGTAATAATTAAATTTCCATTTAACGTGTAATCGTTTAATTGTTTTAGGGGAATTTTTATTTATTTGTGACGACAACGGTTCTCAACCATGTTTCATACTTTCGCCTCTTTTATTGTTTTGGTTAGAAATCCTTTTCTAAGCTAAATTGAAATTTGAGTAAGGCTCAATCATTTGGAGGACTCCTCTCAATCTTGAGTGTCAAGAATAAAAATTTACTCATTCCTCCGAAACTAGTAATATTGTTAGTGTCTCAAAATACTTTTCACCCTGAGAAACTTCATGCCATCGAGATATAGTGGGAAGACGAGAGACCAAAATATTTCTGGAAGACGTGGAGGAGCCCAGATTATCCCGATGACAAAACTCAGCAGAAGAATTCAGGGACAGCGTTCCTCTCCGAGCTTATGCAGTTGCACCACTGCATTCCTCGATGAGTAGAAGCAGCGGCTCCAACACAAATCTTGAGCGTGTCAAAAGGTTACGCAGGTGTCAATCCGTTTCATAAAGAAAGCACCTTCGGTTGCTCTCTAAGAGAAACATAATGAAATACACAACCAAAGTGTCTCCATAAATGTGCAAAGAATTTGAATCAATGCTTCGTCAAGGGTTTCTAGAGAAGGCATCTTGGGCCTCGGGGTTCATATCTCCGATGTTTTCAATTCCAAAAGCAGAATGGAAATTTCGACATATCTTTAATCTACGTTGCCTGAACGAATATCTAGGCCCTTCAAAATTTTGTCTGATGAACCAACGCAAGGTGCTCTCTTTCTCCAAAGGTACGACTTCCTTGTCAAAATCGATCATTCTCAAGCTTATCTACATGCTCCAATAAAATAGTCCTATCGATCATATCACGGCCAACTTTATAACATAACCTGTCTGTCAGCAAGTGGTTCGCAAACACCCTTCGCCAAAAGGAATGAGGACCTTAGTTTATCTGGACGATTTCCTAGTAGCCCACCAAGACGGCCAAACTCTTCAAAGCCAGGTTTCATATATAATAGACTTCTAACCTTCGCTGGACTGGGTGATCAACGAAGAGAAGTCCATTATGATCCGAACTGACAGAATCGAGTTTCTGGGGACCATCTGGGACACCAGCTTGAACGTCATGATTCTACCCGACGAGAAAAAAGCACGAATCTTAAAACTCCTGAGAAAGATGTTGAAGGCGGAGTCTGGAGTTGGAAGTCAGCAGCTTCTCTCCTCAGCATGCTCAACTTCGCAGCGATTGTCACTCCCCTAGGGCAACTCTTTTCTGGACAATTATGGCAGATGCTTCCCAAGCAGGCTGGGGCTTTCAGCTGGCCAGGTTTTTTTCAGCAGGAACATGGTCCTCTGCTCAGATCGGTTGACACATCAATCGCTAAGAACTTTATACTGTTCTGTTGGCGATTCAAATGCGCAAGGATGATCTTCAAGGCAGGTCAATCATGCTCCAGTCAGGCAACAAGACAATCTCGACATACATGAAGAATCAGGGAGGCATACGGTCACTGGTGCTCTTGAACTTGGTAAAGAATCTATTACTGCTTTTGGGTCCATACAATATTCTTCTGGTCTCAGTTTTTCTCCCCTGGAGGAACGACACTCTGGCAGGCAAAGAACAAACGTTACCAGACTGGCATCTGAGGGATGAGATCCTGAAAAGAGTCTTTCAGGAATGGGAAACGCCGGAAATCAATCTCTTTACCACAGCCTGATTTAAGGTTATTCGCCTATATGTCTCTTTGGAATCGAGCGATCAAGAAGCCGTTTTCATACACGAGTGCAGCAGACTCTGAGAGATGAAATTAGCCTGGATATTTCCACCACCCCACTATTTCCCAACGTTCTTCATCATCTGAACACAGCGTTCGGAATCTTCCTGTTGGTGGTTCCGAAATGGGAAAAGACGTTTTGCCGGGAAAACCTCAAATCCAGGAGTCCAGCTGATCCATTCTAGCTATACGACCAGGAGAATCACCTGACGGACCTTTCAGCGAGTCTACCCTAGCAGAACATCAAAGAAATGTCTTTAGAAGTTTGGAGAGTACTGAATGGGGCAACAGGGTATAAGGTTTAACTGAATCCGACGTCAGTCTTCTGGGGGGAAACAATGGTTAGCCTGGTGTAAATCCAAACGCATATCTCCTGACGAGCCATAGGCCCAACTGGTCTCGTACTTGTCTTCGTTATTCCAAGACAGCAAGTTAGTTTTTAGTTCAATCCGTACCGTAGAAGTATCCATAGAAGCTAGTGATCTGGTCACTTACGGGAGCAGAAATGAGTGCCGATTTGAGTTCAGATCCGTTGATTAAGGCCTTGTTAAACGCGATTAACATCCAAAGAGTCAAGCAGATAAAAGTGACTAAAACATCATCTGAAATAAGGAATCCCTGACAAACTGGATGTCACTTCATCCGCCAGAAGAAAACAGTATTTTCGACATGTCTCGATTTGTGGCCCCTACAATTACTGTTAGCTTCTGGAAGGAGGATGCATGATCTCATGCTCCTCCGGTTACACCCAGAGTGTTGTGATATTTCTGAGGACAAAATCTTTTTTCGGACAGAGTTTGGCTCCAAAACTGACAAGCCTGATTATCGACAGTCTGGTTGGCACATGAGCAGCTCACAGGTCCAGATCTTTGGCTCATTCGTCTTTCCGCTGGAAGACGACAGACTCGTCAAAGTGTTTCATACCTTTTCATCACAACAAAAAATGTAGTAAAGGCAGCATCAAGATCGATTATTGCAGGCTGGAAAAATACCGCGTTGAAAGCTGCATGAATTCATTGTTTATACTATAACAATAAAAGGTGAAGGTTCATTTCTCATTTAACCGTGGGAGTCACAATATAGCTTCTTTTCTTTTAAGTGGCGGCAGACTATAAACATGTCTCCGAAGGGTCAAGCCAAGGGTACAGACTTCAGTAGAATCATTTTCCAAGCCAAATTGTATTTATTTTTTCATATCCCAGTTATATCTCCTTTCAGCTTCTTTATTATTTAAATGAAAACTGGAACTGTTGAAGAATTTCGACGGTGGTCATTCCGCCTAATAACCTAGCGCTTAACGATTTAATTGTTGGATTTTGTCTCGGGGTTGTTGGTGCCAGAGGGCGGGCTAACAGAAGGAGAATCCCGTGGTTCTCCAGAATTTATGCCGCAATATGAGAATAGTTGCATATATAATAAAGAATTGCTTTGTAGAGAATTGCAGGAAAACTATAATAAAATTTGTATAATTAGAACAGAAATACAGACTTACCATGAGATTCGGTCGATAATCTTTATTAGCTGGGTTGGCGAGACTATCATCATAGCATACATCTGAATGTACGAGACCCAAAAATTCTAAATATGGATGAGATTTTATAAACTCCTTAAGATCCCGAACTTCGATTTCATCCTTTCCGGATATATCTAAGCTTGTCAAGTATGGCATACAATTCACAGTACGTAGTACATCTGTTATTTTGGATCTTATTGGTGCAAACATCTCAAATGTGTATGAATCACGTTCATCAGAAATGTCAAGATGCCTTAATTCATTTAATTCAAGCAGCACTGATTTCAAATTTGCGTAGCCACTTATCTTCAGATTGTACATTGCGAGACTTTTCAGCCGGTCTTTACATTTTCTTAAGGGTGTTATATCATCAACACGAGTACAGGAAATATCAAGAGTCTCTAAAGATGGCAGGTCTTCAACGACAATTTCCAATCCGTGTTTATTAAATTCTGTACCAGAAACATTTAATGTTTGAAGGGCTCGTAATTTGCTTAACGCTAAAAACACGCAGACTCTGTAAAAAAGAAGAAAATCAAAATTCTAACTTTTTGATTAATACAACTAATATTGGTATATTTTGATGCAAGCCCGGAAAACTGTTTCGTTGCCCGTGTATGCTTTAGAGAGGAGATGGACAAACTCTGAAAGCGATTGGTACTGTTCACGCCTTTAATTAGTGTTACAATGGACAATATTAACTGCTTGCTCGAATCTTTCAGAGTAGGAGTATTACAAAGTGGAGGAGCTCAAAATTCCTCGTTTCAAATAATGTGTGTAAAAACCAATTCCAATCGATTTCATAAAGGGAAAAAGAAGAAAATCCAACCCTGAATTGAATTCGAGTCTTGCCCTAACCTGAAACAGCCTGGTTATTCGTGGAAGCCAAGCGCTACACTCAGTCTAGACGAATTGTCATCTACAGGCAAAACAGAGTTGCCATACCGCAGTTTTTTTGAAAAGGTTTTTTTGATTTTATACAGCCACAGTTAATCGACTGAATGCGATCACCCGCAGAATAACCACTTTTCGAACAACGTAGTTGATAGCTCATGCAGAGCTTTTGATGATCTATCCTATTCTGGAAAAAGCAATAAGAGTTTTTGGAAAAAACGGCAACCCTGATCCAAAATTGACCCCTTTCACCAGGTAAAATATCTTTAAAAATCCAGTTCCCTTTACTCACACTGACAACCCGTTGGTATTGTTAGTCTACAGCTAAATACGCGGCTTCTTTTGGAATTTCGCTATAAGCCTTCACTTTGGTTTACCATGTGTTTCTATTTCAAATGCTGCTCAGGTATTGTTTCTGCATATTCCCTATCAGGTGTATTACCTTGTCTTACTGCGGTCAATCGTAGGTTTGTCCACTTTTCGGCGGTTGAACTTTGCTGGCGCGCAGCGGTCAGTTCTTGCCCTTTTGCTGTGCTTGTCATTTATTAATGATATTTGAGAAAGCTGACACCCTGATACTCAGCCCCTGATTTTTACTGACGAGTTATAAATCTACCTGCAGTCGGAGATTGATAAAGTTCCTGCGAGGATAGACAATGCAGGTCACTGTGTTATAGATTGGGCCGTGCGAAAGCGGTTACATAGATTTAGGCAAATTCGGATATTTCTGAATAAATATATTCAAAAATATGGTAGTTTTTCAACTCGATATTCTCAAACAACTCACAACTATTCCTGCGGTTGGCGCACCTTTGGAACACAAAAAAAAAGAAAGCCAACGATCCACCGAACCCCTTGGGCTCCATCAAGAAAACCCCAATAAGTCTGGACAGAAGTCTCTCACGCATTACCGACATGAAACATGCAGATTAATGGTGAAGAAAGAAGAAGAAGTCAGGATGAGTAACGGTCATCACTGCTATATCGGCTGTCCCGGTATGCGTTACTAGCAAATCAATGAAAATAAAAGTGACGATAAAGGCTCGGAGAAGAAGGACAGGAAGAGGATTGAGATGAAATATGACGGGAAAGTTGGAAAGGAGACTCATAAAAGCAGAATTTTAGAAACGAGTGAAGAAGAAAGGAGCTTGGAAGAGAAAACCAGGGCAGTATTTCAAACCACAGCATTTCAACATTTATTCACTACAGTTTAAACCACCCGTGTCCATCAGTGTATCAACGTGGATTGCCGAGAGGGCTAAAGGCCACATCTTCATGGTGAGCCTGGATAATACAAAGAATGGTGTATAAAAACCATATCTCCCAAGGTGATAGTGTTCTCCAACGTGGGTGTTCAAATTCTTAATTGGGAGATTAAAACCTATACACTGCTCTATAGAACATCTAGAATGATTTGGATGGGTTCTTCTAGATATTTACGAAAATATCATTTTGGATGAACGTCGAATTGGCAGACTGAGTTGAAAACTACATTTCAATTAGTTGCAAACGTAATTTACCATCGAATATATGTGATTTGATGTCACACCGTTCGAAGTCGAATTCAAACAATTGAAAAATCCAACTCCTTACAGGAATGATGTCACAGATTTTGGATTACAGTGTACAGGTGTGCAATACCGAAAAATTACAGCTCAGTGCATCAGTATAAAGTGTTAGAGGATCGATAAAAATATATACAATTTTACCTAGAACAATCTATGAAGCTTCCCTTAGCAACACTCAAAGACCGCAGGTTGAGCAAGCTCCATTCACTAAGACAACTTATTAAGTCATTTATTGTTATCTTCATCCCTTTTACTTCTAGATCGATGACTTTATGTTGTTTCAATACTTTCAATCCTTTAGTCGATAGACTAGATGCATCTTTCAGCTTCACGTGCCTACAAATTAAGTATTGCATTAGATCTCTTTTCGTTAATTTCTCTAATCAAAATGAAAACATAGTTGAGTTATACAGTCCTTTGCCTTATATTATTTTTAGGACAAAACAGTGGACATGTTCTGGAGTGAACTGACTAATCATTCTGTTTTTACAACTACCTTAATCTTGTAGTTTTTGCATCGAACAAAGTGATTGTGAGGTCTGATAAAACTTTTTTCTCGCAGAGATTTGCCAAAAGTTGTTCAGATATCTCTGCTGGTAAAAACACGTCAGGATCCTTGAAACTTAGTCTCGGTGCAGTTCCATTTGAAATGTTGTCCACAGAGCAGTTGGTAAATGTTTCCGATGATATGATCACACTACCCTCACTCGTCGAAGCACGGAATGGATCATCTTGTAATACACATATTTTTCAAATATAAGTATATTAATTAATTGAAGCTCGACAGGCAATGGGTAATTTCATAAGAAATAACAAGACTTAAATATATGAACGAATTCGCCTATTTTGTATGCAGAAAATTGCCTTAAAAAGTGTCTTACACCTTTTTCATTCAATTGTGACGGGATTACCTTATATTATATTCCACCTGGAGATTACCTTAAGACCGTCAGAATTTTCCCGGTTTTTCTACATTTGTTTCCATGCTGCTATTTCGGTCTAGCCGGACAGATTCATCGCGGGGAATTTTTATTCAGAAATTGTTCGAGTGTTGACAAAATTTATATGAAAAAAAAATTTCGCTTTTCGAATGCCCGGGCTCCAGCTTTTACGATTTGTTCCATTTCCATCCCCAACCCCTGTACCGCATTCGCTGAAAGGGATGGAAAAACCTCATTGAAGGGAAAAAACCCGGCGCTAGTACAAGTCAGCGTTGAGATCAGCTCAATTTTGAAATAATATTGTTCTCACGATTTCAATTTAGTTTTGGGTATTTTGGCATCCCAGTTGCTGACCTACCTGAAGGAAAACCTGGTGGAGCGACTGAAGAAGTGGGCAGAGCCAAATTATAGATATTTTTAGGAAAATTTAGAGTTTTTGAGGAGCCTATTGTGCGCATGCAATAGCGTCCTTTTGATAGATCAGATGATTCCCAGTCAGGATTTTACGTCGAGTTAGTTTAGATTTAAGATTATTATTATTACTTCGGGTAATTGAGTTATTTTGGAATATTCTATTTTCGAATCACATATTCGGTAGTTTCGTATTGTTAATGATCGAAAAAAATCATTCAGTTTAAATGTCTGTCGTTGCGTGATTTTCTTTTCATTCTGATAGGAGCGCGTAAGCCCGATGTTAATATCCTGTATTCTTTTCTATTGGATTTTCTATTTTTGTCAATTATAACATTTTCAATTTTTAATTGAGAACTCGTGTTATCTCCCTTGTGGATATAGACAAGAGTCGAGAGAAGAGATATCATTTACTCTCAACAAGAATTTATAGAAGCAAGTCGGTCAACATGCATAACTTTTAGTGTGGAATGGTTCGATTTAACCATTCAATCCCGACTCATAATTTCCCTGAGAGATTCAATCTAACATACGAAAATAGTATACGACAAATTTCTAATCGTCTAGTATTAACCAACGGGGAATTCAACGCACGAATTGTTACTTAATGCAGGATCACCTCGAAACTGATTTTTCTAAAATACTCTCCCCAATTATCACGGCGTCTCCAAACGATCGTTAGTCCTCACCTTTGATACCCAGGTAGGAATGGACGATGGGGAGAGGGTTCGACGAAGGTTCGGCGAAGGCTTGACAAGCCTGGGTTGAGGCTGGAATTGACCATGAGTAAAGCCTTTGTTGAACCTTGGATCGTAACAGGGGGTAGAGCCTCGATCCCAAGGCTTGCCGAAGGCTTGAAACCCAGGGCTTTCCAAAGCTTCGAAAGGCAGAGACTGTCGGAGCCTCAAATATCAGTGCTTCTTCCCAGGTGGGAATTGACCATTGGTCGTAGCTGAGACCAAGCTTGAACCAAGCTTGATCCAAGCTTGATCCAATCGTTAACTAATCCTTCAATTTATCTAGAAATTATTGATCAAAATAATGAAAAAAAGTAAAATAATTATTTTGTTGTTACTAATACAAGTCAATTTCACCCCGATTTACCTATCCCTGATGAATGGATCATTGGAAAGACCTAATTAATTAACTTAAAAATTGACCGCCGCAACCGAGATTCGAACGCACGACCCTAACATTACGAAACCTACGCCTTACCACTAAGCTAATGCGCGCCTATGATTTGTCATTTTCAATTGTACCTATGAAGTCTATGTCAACTTTGTAGAAATAATGTTGTTGAATAACGTTCTATTTGTGTAATGTAACCAACATCACTAACTATTTACTTAATTTACATTATTAACATAAGTTACTTTTTCTCGATCAACCCCCCGGTCCCCATTCCTCTGTGACTCCTAATCCTCATTACGAACATACGCACAAATTTGTTTTATCTGCAACGAATCGATTGTTATTGTTATTATTATTTTTATTACTATTATTATTATTATTATTTATAATAATCCTGAAGCGAGTCAGAGTTTACCCAGGGTGTTTCAAAGGATCTTAACTGGGCCTGAATGATTCATGCCTCGTGTGACGTACATCGTTTTTTTTTTAAGAGAGAGAGAGCCGCGCCCAACCCGCGAATCCAGCAGACCGTGGAGAAAAATTACTAAATGAATAAATATTAAAATAAAATTAAATTATGATTCCGCGATTATCCCGGACGACCCGGAGACTACGCTGAGGCGGTTAGACATTTAGAGCTTTCCCTACGAATTCCGGAATTAGCAGGAGATTAGGGAATCAGGGGAATTTTCGGTGGGAAAAATTGCAAAAATTATTCCCTGCTGAATCAGCAGGAGATTAGCGACTCATTAAGGGACGTTTAGTGTTAGAGTGGAATTATAGAATTAGTTAATTAGTGGGGCAATCGCGTCGCGAAGAGGGATAAATTAAAAGTGATCATCGGACGGGGATTTAGGGGTTACTTCGTTCGCGAAATCTTCCCGGGGTGAACAGACTGGCTGCGAGTGCTAGCACCCCTAAAAGAGGGATCCGTGAGGAATTTTATATTACGTGTTAGTGTTGAAAGGTCGGTGGGGGTGTTACGACCGGCACCTTCCCGAATTGCCGTATTAGATAAGTTAGTTAGGTTTAGTTACATCCACGGATCCCCGGGCAAAAAGAACCGGGAAAGACTAGCCGCGATAGTTCATTAGTTTGAGTTAATTATTAAAATTTAGTTCCCCCATTCAAATTTGAATGGGGAGAAATTAGCGCATCCGGACAATTAGTGCTATCGCGCTCAATCCACCGGAACTAACGTTCCGGCGAGGCACGAGTTCCGCCATCTTTTTGGCAGTTATCGCCAGGACGTACGGGCCACAGGACGTTTTTCCCCAGAGGAGCAAAAAGCAAGAAGGAAACAATGGGAGGATCCCATCCGGCCCGAAAATTTCGTGGGAAGGTGAGGAAATTTCTTTAAATTTATCCCAGTAACACCGGTTACTGGAGAACGCATAATTAATTCGGTTCGCGAGTGTAAATCGATCCTGCTCGATCAACGGATCGAAGAGCGTTTCCCTCCGTTGAGGTGTTCGCAAGGGTTTTCTCGGCCATGGTTTATCCGAAAACCACGGCTGATCGCGTGTGGAGAATTCCTCATCCCACATGGCCGTCCCTGTGGAGGTTTTAAGGCGATATCGCGCGAAAAAAGACGTGAAAATCCCGGAGGAAACCGCCGAAAACCGCCGTGGAACGCGAGAAATTTTGTTCGTCTAACCTTGAGCGGTGTCTAGGCCGTCGCGGCTTCGAGTGTTTTCCCCCACTCCGCTCCGCTCAACGTTGAGTGTGAATTCCAGCCCAACGGTGCTGAGGAAATCCCGTTTCCGAAAAAAACGGAGATTCCCTGAAATAGTGGAACTCCCCAATTTTGGGAGGATGTTCGCGAATATTCCCCCTCGCTGGTGGAGTTTATCCGATGCCGATCGGTGGAGGCATCGAGGCGTCGCGAAAATAAAACCCGTCGGAAAAATTTTTATACGCGTACCATGTACGTTGGGCGTAGTGCGATCTCTCTCGCTCTCTCGCACCGCCTCTTCCAGGCTCGCCGAGGATTTCCTCGGTGATCTTGAAAATTCCTATTCTACTACTTTATTTCCTTTTTTGTGCTGGGAATAATCCCGGACCTCTCTCGAGGGCCCACGGAATTACGTGGAGTTGGAATTGCTAATCCACCCACGGGTAAAAGTTGTAAATTAGCCCCTTATGGGGCCCTAAATCTTTTTGGGAACGTTGCGAGCCTCTCCTGAGGCCTCGTGGAAGTATGGGGAAGTTTTCAATGGGAAAATTTATAATAAATTATTTATCTTGGGTCTTGAATTTTCAGGGAAATCCTGAGCACCCTCCGGTGCCTCGCGGACTTAGATGAGGTTTCCTTTTTTTCTTTTCTTGGGAATTATCCTTACTACGGCGGGTGAAAGCAATACCGTTGACCCCGGTCAACTGGGAAATTTCCGACACCAGTGTTCGAGTCACTAAATAAAATAGATAATTTTTGGAGAAACGTTAGTGGAGTTCGAGAATTTACTTTTGAAAATTTTCGCCCTTTTCCCTGAATCCACCCCTCTCTCCACAACCTAGCATACTGAGCAGCGCAGGCATCCGTTACCTCTCCCTCAACCCCCTTGCTGAATTAGATGTAAGTACGGGTTAGTGATACGTTTTGCGGTTTTAGATTAGGTTTAGGTTTTCGAGTTGCGGATTTCTCGATCAGGAAAATTAGCTGGGGCCCGGCAACCTTTTTTTAGGTCCCGATTTTAGTTAAGTTAGTATCGGCGTGGAGGCCAGAGGGAGGAAGGGCGAAGGTGGTGAGCATTTTCGGTCGGTTAGAAAATGTCACGTAATACCCGGTTGAGCCTAATGATAAGCTTAGTATGCTCAGCCTCAGCGCGCTTAGACTGAACCGAGCATGTACTCAGCATGATATAAGTCATCCTCAAGAAACCAAAGCTGGTTCTAATCTGTTTCGAGCCTTGGACCAAGCAGCCTAAGGAGATTCAAAATATTATGAAGGCCCATAACTCAGCTTCACTGGACGAGGCCTCAGCCAAGTCTGAATATAAGCGTAGGCTATTTAGGCCCAGTACGCTGACACTTACAGAAGCCTCAATTCACCTTGTTATGAACCATGCTTATCAAAACAAGAATGATTCGAGTCTGTGTCTAGGCTTGGACTCAGCAGCCTGACGGGAGCCAGAATTGTCCAATTGTATTCCAAGGGCTTTTAACTTAGCCTCAATGGATAAAGCCTCGGCCAAGCCTGAGTATAAACCTGGCCCGTCGAGGCTCATTGAGTTGAGTTTTACATGAGC